TGTAGTGGGACTTTGGTGCTCACTGAGTCTGCCCCCTGAGTGTGTCCCTTATGGATCTAAGGAGTTGTAATCTGGATGGTCTCACTCTGACCACTGGGTACACTGGCTCTTGGATCTCTGAGGAGGTGCAAATTTAGCCTCTTCCTGAGGCTATCCAGCAGGAACTATGGAGAGATCTGCAAATTCCTCTTCTTTGGGGTTTGGCGCTGCCTAGATGAGGCCCAGCTGTGAAGCACTGCAAGCTGCTGTGGGGCCTTGGGCCTTCTTTTGGAAGTTCTGGGTCTCTCTGACCCAACTGCAGATTGTTAGTTAATTTTCAGGTTGCAAAGGGCCAGGCGTTTCATATGCAAAAGCCTCTGTGCACAGCTTGGGTGGGGCGGAGTTTCAGGGAATCAACAGGGTGGAGCAAATAGCTATGGCTGATCCTTAGTCCTACCCTAAGAGGCCCCGGGTCTCAGTGTCCCGGTAATCGCTGCCAGCATCTCTGAGAGAAAGCCGCCCTCGAGTTCCAACTGACGCCAGACTGTCCAGTTTCACCCCGTATGAGTCTGGATCCCCAGAGACTTGCCTGGAACTGGAGTTCAGAGCAGTCGGGAGCTTGAGACTCCCTCTGGATTGAAAAGACAACTGTGTCCTCAGTTGCCAGCCCTTTTGGCATGAGCCTCCATACCTCTGCACTTCTGCAGCTTCTCTGAGTCTCAGTGTGCTTTTCTCTTTCCTTCTAGTTGTAGAATTTCCACTTAGCCAGCCTTCCTATGGTTCTGGATGATGTCTGTTTTGTCTTTTAGTTGTATTTTTGAAGTGGTTGTGCGAGGCAGCAATTTCCTGTGTTTACCTATGCCGCCATCTTGGTTTCCTCTGCAACAACTTCTTTCAAGAACTACTTTTAATATTTTAAAAACTATCTTAAAATTCTTCCAGGTAAAAGTAGCCATTCTATGCTATGAGTTACTTACAGCTAATCTATAGCCACCAGCCAATTACAGTTGAGCAGTTACATTTACATTTCTCACTCATCACCACATTCTTCTTTCTTTATTCTCTTCCTTGTTTAATTTTTTTTTTAAAATATATATTTTATTGAGTTTTTACAGAGAGGAAGGGAGAGGGATAGAGAGTTAGAAACATCGATGAGAGAGAAACACCGATCAGCTGCCTCCCGCACAGTCCCCACTGGGGATGTGCCTGCAACCAAGGTACATGCCCTTGACCGGAATCGAACCTGGGACCCTTCAGTCCCCAGGCCAACGCTCTATCCAGTGAGCCAAACCGGTTAGGGCTTCCTTGTTTAATTTTATTAGATACATGTGTTGCTATATCTTCTATGTAGACAAAATAATAATTGATATTTATTGAGGGCTTTATATGTGCCAAGACACAGTGTAAAGTACACTGCAAGTATTAAATTCTCACAATTCTAAAAAGTGAAGGTACTGTTACTTTTCTAGATGCAGAAACTTGCTCAAGGTTGTAATTATTATCTATGGCCAAAGACTAGATGAAACAAATTTTCAAACTTAAAAAAAGTTTGTGGTTGACAACCCACACTCAAAAACAGACACATTTCCTGTCTTTGTGTCTTAAATTCTTCAGTACTAAATCACTGGCCTCTCATCTTCAATTGCTCTGTCTATGGTTTTATGAATAAAATTTGTTTGTAACACTGACTTTTCATAACAGCTGTATCTACCACTGGAAATTTTTAGCTAAACACAGCAAAATCCCTGCTCAAAAGCATTCTTGCTTTAAACTAACAATTTCAAATGGTAGATTTATCCTTTTTTTTAAAGTGTTTTTTTTTTTTAAATTGATTTCGGAGGAGGGGGGAGAGAGAGAGAAAGAAAGAGAGAGAAAATTAGCAATGATGAGAGAATCATTGATCGGCTGCCCCCTGCGCTGGGATTGAGCCCACAACCTGGGCATATGCCCTGACTGGGAATTGAACCTTCGCCTCCTGATTCATAGATTGACGCTCAAACACTGAGCCACACTGGCCGGGCTAGATTTATCATTTTTACAAGGATTTTTAAAAAGTTCGCCAAGCCCTAGCTGGTTTGGCTCAGTGCATAGAGGTTCGGCCTGTGGACTGAAAGGTCCTGGGTTCGATTCCTGTCAGGGGTGCATGCCCGGGTTGTGGACTTGATTCCCAGTAGCGGGCATGCAGGGGACAGCTGATCAATGATTCTTCTCTCTCATCATTGATGTTTCTGTCTCTCCCAATCCCTTCCTCTCTGAAATCTATAAAAAAATAAATAAATAAATAAAGTTAGCCAAAACAGGAAAAAAAAAAGTTACCCAAGCCATAGCATCAAAAAATTTGGGTAGATTTTTCTTTAAGGATAATTCTAAATTTAAAAAAAAATGCTCCTTGATGCCTTATCAAGATTACTTTCTCAGTAGTTAACATTTAATATAGTGTGGCTAGGTAGCTTGAATTGGTTACCTGGCCTGTTAGGACACATAAAAGAATCAACCAATGAATGCATAAATAAATGGGGCAACAAATTGCCATCTCTCTCTCTCTCTAAAAAATCAACAAGTTTAATGTAATAATATGTAGTATTTCTGTGAAAATTAAAAGTGCTATAGAATTCAGAAAGCCAGTTATAGTGTCAGCAAAGTTGAAATGATGTAGTTAAACCCTTATATGAAATAACTTATATTTCTAATACATTTACCTAAGTTGACTATGTGCCAGGAATATGAAAATAATGCACAGTACTGATTATCGTATATAATATTAGTGATAATTATGTTTGCCTTATTTTATCATATTTAAGCACTAATTATATTTTTTCAGGAGAACGCCCATATAAATGTGAACTTTGCCCTTACTCAAGTTCTCAGAAGACTCATCTAACTAGACACATGCGTACTCATTCAGGTTGGTAAGAAATGGGAACTTTTCTATCATTTATAGTAAACTACCATTATAAGGAAGTTCTATACCTGGAACTGGGTAATTATATATGATTACATTTTTAAATATAATTTAGAAACTAGTTAAAAATCAGTATTCTTTTACTATGGAGTTCTGTTTAAAGGGGGGATTCTTAATGAATAGGTAGAACTTTTGTAAATGTAAATGTGTACTTTTCTGGGAGGAGGGTTCTTAATTTTCATTAGCTCTTCAATAAATTCAGTGACACATAGACCAAGGCTGGTTAATGCTTTTTGAACAACTCCTACTTTCTCACACTCCTTCAACAGAGTATGACACCAAATTTCATAGTGTGTGGTTCCCAGGCTGTATGGCAGTGGTGGTGAACCTTTTGAGCTTGGCGTGTCAGCATTTTGAAAAACCCTAACTTAACTCTGGTGCCGTGTCACATATAGAAATTTTTTGATATTTGCAACAATAGTAAAACAGAGACTTATATTTTTGATATTTATTTTATATATTTAAATGCCATTTAACAAAGAAAAATAAACCAAAAAAAAATGAGTTAGCGTGTCACCTTTGTCACATGTGTCATAGGTTCACCATCACTGCTCTAGGGATTCCTTCTGAACTCAGGTCTTGAAATTTGGATTTGTTCTATTTTGAAAGTTGATAGGGCTTCTCTGAGGACTGATATACAAAAGCCTACCTTTAAAGAATTATACGTAATGTGAGATATTAACTTATTAGCCTATAATAGATAGAATTCAGACAGTAACAAGTAGGAGATTCATGTACTACAGTGAAAGATGAGGATCACCAACCAGAATTGGACTCCAGTATCAAGCTGGCCAAGTTAAAAATATCAGTCTAGGTAGTCTTGTGATTGATAATTATTTCATTTTGGCCACGATTGACCCTTGGTGAACTCCATGTCTCCTTTCAGATTTAGAATATACGTTATGTACCCTTGTGGACAAACTATGCTAAATACAATCTTGTTGTTTACAAACATCTATGTAGACCAAGCCTGGGCCACATAAACAAGGTTTAAGTTTATGTGGGCTGCAAAAAAACAGAAGCTTCAATTTTCATAGAAACATAGGTTTTTTTCTATACAGACATGCTGAATACTAAGGGCTAAATTAAATGAATAATTGTTAACATGAAATAATAGAACATTTTAATAAAAATCAGTTTTTTTCCTTGAACATTAACTTACCAGACACTGAATAACTGCACAAATTAATAAGCGTAATGCAAATAAACCTATTTTCTTGTTCTCCAAAAGCGAAATATTTTCTGTTGCACACACCAAACAAGTCAGTCCAATATTAATGACGTGGCAATCAGATGCTGAAATATTCGCTGCTAGTATTAGTGGAGAGAAATGGTGCGCCTGCCTGTAAGGCGCATAAGGGAAATGAATGCAACACAATTATAGTAATCAGTCATTAGCGAACGTTGTAGTTCGTTATTAATAATTATGTATAACAGGATATTGTAAAAATTAAGTTACGAAATTTTTATTAAAACGTATCTTATATGCCGTTATATTGGCTGGGCCACAAAAATATTCATTGTGGGCCACATGTGGCCCGTGGGCCACGAGTTTGACATGCTTGATGTAGACCTACCTCAAGTTAACGGTTATTGTAAATCTGTGTGTCCAATTGGGTAGTCACTAGCTGCATGTGGTTATTGAGCTTGGGAAATGTGGTTGATTGGAATTGAGTTGTATAAAATACTAAAATTCAAACAGTATGAAGAAAATCCAAATACTCTATTTTTAAAATATTAATTACATGTTGACATAATATTGAATATATTAGGCCAAATAGTAAATCCATTTTACGTTTGTAATGTGACTACTGGAAAATTTAAAATTAAATATGTTGCTTGCATTTTTAAAAAAAATATATATATTTTTTTTGATTTCAGAGAGGAAGGGAGAGAGAGAGAGAAACATCAGTTATGAGAGAGAATCATTGATCTGCTACCCTCTTGCAAGCCCCACACTGGGGATCAAGCTGCAACTTGGGCATGTGCCCTGACTGGGAATTGAACCATAACCTCCTGGTTTATAGGTTGACACTCAGCCACTGAGCCGTGCTGGTTGGGCTTGTTTGCATTTTATTGTTATTGAATATAGCTGTCTTATGTCAGTGATAAGACTGGTTATAGTACAGATTCTGATTTATGAACGGGTCACATAGTATGCTTGCTAGCCTTTCTTGACCCTATATGCCTGTCATGTTAATATATACTTTGAGTGTACCTTCTAAATCTCCAAAGCTATTGAGTTGGATCATTTAACCAGAACCTGGCTATGTTACCTTTCAGAGTTTCCTGGTTTCATTTTCTGAGGGTAACTTGGATGATATCTAAAGCTTTGCTGAGGCTAGTAGACATATATCCTGTTGGTAGATAGTAAGCTCTAGCCCAGCTGTGGGCAAACTACAGCCCACGGGCCAGATGCGGCCCGTTTGAAATGAATAGAGCTAAAAAAAAAAAAAAAAAAAAAGACCATACCCTTTTATGTAATGATGTTTACTTTGAATTTATATTAGTTCACACAAACACTCCATCCATGCTTTTGTTCCGGCCCTCCGGTCCAGTTTAAGAACCCATTGTGGTCCTCGAGTCAAAAAGTTTGCCCACCCCTGCTCTAGCCCTTAAATAAAACATTTAAGAGCTTTACACGAGTTAATTCATTTAATTATCCTATCCTATATAACAAAACCCTAATATGCAAATTGACCGAACCATAGAACAACGGGTTGCTATGACGTGAACTGACCACCAGGGGGTAAACGCTCAATGCAGGAGCTGCCCCCTGGTGGTCAGTGCGCTCCCACAGAAGGAGCGCTGCTCAGCCAGAAGCCAGGCTCACGGCTGGAAAGTGCAGCAGACGGTTAAGGAGCGAGGGGTCCCGGACTGCGAGAGCCCCAGACTGCAAGAGGGATGTCTGCCGGCTTAGGTCTGATCCCCCCGTGGACATCCCTTGAGGGTTTCCAGACTGTGAGAGGGCACAGGCTGAGCCGAGGGACTCACACACAGACACACACAGTGCACGAATTTCGTGCACTGGGCCTCTAGTGATATATAAGTTCTAGTACCATTTTACAAATGTGCAAACTAAGGCATTGAAGAAATGTGTCCATTTTTCTTGTAGAATGTCCTCCTTCTGGATTTGTCCTTACTTGCTTTTTCATGGTGTCGTTTAGTTTTTTCTCTGTCCCTGTGTCTTGTATTGCTTATATGCCGGAGATTAAATCTAAATGCTTGATACTTCATGATTTAAAGTCATATATCTGGTTGACCTGTACTATTAGAATGACAAAGTACTTGTATCTTCATTGAAATACTTTTGTCATTGTATAAGTATTTATCTATGGTGTTTTAATAATCTTTGCCTGAACAATTTTGAGTGTGCTGTTGTTTTTGGGTTTTCTTTGCTATATGTTTTCTTTTGAATTATTATTTTTTAAAGATTTAAAAAATATATTTTATTGATTAAGAATATATTTCTTTATTGATTTCAGAGAGGAAGGGGGAAAGAGAGATAAAAACATCAATGATGAGAGAGAATCATTGATTGGCTGTCTCCTGCATGCCCTCTACTGGAGATTGAGCCCACAACCTGGGCATATGACCTGAGTGGGAATTGAACCTTGACCTCCTGGTTCATAGGTTTATGCTCAACCACTGACCCACACTGGCCAGGCTTCCTTGCTATTCTTTTTGAACTATTCTTTAAAACAAACAAAAAACTATACCGTACTTTATTTTTTTAAATATGTTTTTATTGATTTTGAGGTTTTCTAATACTAGCAGGATTTTATGGCAATAGAAGGAAAATTGGAGCAAGTAAATTATGCTGCCATAAAATTTTAAACACATTTCTACATCTTCCCATTCCTTGACTATGTAAATATCCTCATTTGCTAGGGTTTTTTAAATGGTGCTATTTTCCTTATAATTCTTTAATTATCACAAATGTTTATTCAGAGGTAGGGTTATGTGGATAGGCAGGATATGATGACTCCTCCCTTTCCCCCAATACTAAAAATTAACCAGTTTGTTCCTACAGGTAATTGATAGAGGGTGCCTGGCTAACTGCCCATGCTAAGTGTTTATGTGGCTAAATAATCTAAATATTAGATTAAGTATATACCTGAAACCCACATAATTCTATTAGCCATCAAGTCACTCCAGTAATTTAAAATTAAAATTTTTAAAAGAAAAGAATATTTTATAGGTGAGGAAATTAGTCTTTAGAGAGTTTCCAGTACCTTGCTCAAGATCTCACAGTAAATTGCAGAATCCCATATTTGATCACCCAGATATTCTTACTCCAAAACAGTTCTTAACTATTATGCCACCTATCTTTGCCTATTCTTGTCTGTATATATAAAACAAATGCTTGTCTGCATTGAGGTGATTCACTGGAGAGAGGACAAGATACGGCCAAGCACTATGGAGTAATGTAGCATGTTGTAGAAACTTATTTACAAATTTGTTAATGAACTAACATGGAAAAGAGTTGTCCACTTAGCTACATGTCCAATCTGATGCACTTGGATATGTATTTGTTTCTGTGATCACGTGTTTTATCATCAGACATTTTCTAATCATGTAAAGCATACCATCTACATGGTTTTACTTAATGTCTGAGTAGCTTTGCTTTATGAAAATATTAAGATGTGATATGAATTTGAGAATGTTTGAGAGATGAATTTTCATAAATGTCAATTTCCATTTTTCTACTATGCATTCCATTGGACCAGTGGGGTATGGATACCATTTGGTAATATTTACTAGTGTGTGATCTAGAGGGGTATGTATTCAGGTAGAATGTGTTACTCTTATGCCTTTAATTTGGGGGTGGGGGTTCTGGTTCTGTAATGTACCTGTGATTATTACTTTGTTTGCTTATTTTACATACCATATCTATTTGTATGCCCCTTCAAATTTACCTAGTTTCTTTGGCCGTTTTTTAAAAGAAGGTGGGTAAAAATCAAGGAGAGATTTCTGACTAGGCTATATTTTTGCTTTAAAATAGCATCTTTGGCATTGGGAAAATTTGCTGAATGATGCTTGACAGCTTTTGCCTTGATGGATAAAAGGGTTAAATTTAAAGGGGGGGGAAAGGCCCTTTGCTCCCTGAGGCTAACACAGTGTTTTAAAACTTGTGTGGAAGGTCTGGGAGTGTAGCTTAGAGTATAAGTTATTTCTTTAAAGTCTCAAGACTTATCTTTAAAATATCTGAATTTTATATTCCACTCCATTATACTTTTTTTAACTAAACATAAAACATTAGAAGTTATTTTCTTTGAGGGTCCTCACTCCAAAATTGCCATCCAGAGCTGAACTTGGCCAGTAATTGTTGTGTATTAACAAATGTCTGCTCTTTAATAGTTCTTGAGAGCCTTACGTTGATGAAATTTTTAGGCGATGATGGCTGTGAGATACTTATTTCTTCATTTAGTTTCACAATCAATGTCAGGGGATGGAGAAAAGATATACAAGTAAATATGGTAAATGTAAAGTGCATGAAATTGTCTTCAATATATAGTTTTTGTGGGTTTTTTGTTAGCATAATCCAATTCCTTATATCTTAATGATCTTGCATTCATTTTTTAATATGTCTTTGATGTCTCATTTACTTTTAGGTGAGAAGCCATTTAAATGTGATCAGTGTAGTTATGTGGCCTCCAATCAACATGAAGTAACTCGCCATGCAAGACAGGTTCACAATGGGCCTAAACCTCTTAACTGCCCACACTGTGACTATAAAACAGCAGATAGAAGTAACTTCAAAAAACACGTGGAGCTACATGTTAATCCACGGCAATTCAATTGTCCTGTATGCGATTATGCAGCTTCCAAGAAGTGTAATCTGCAGTATCATTTCAAATCCAAGCATCCCACTTGTCCTAATAAAACAATGGATGTTTCAAAAGTGAAACTAAAGAAAACCAAAAAGCGAGAGGCTGACTTGCCTGATAACAATAATACCAATGAGAAAACAGAAACAGAGCAGACAAAAATAAAGGGGGATGTAGCTGGAAAGAAAAATGAGAAGTCTGTAAAAGTGGAGAAAAAAGATAATGCTTCGAAAGAGAAAAAGCCTTGTAGTAATGCTTCAATCCAGGTGACTACCAGAACTCGGAAATCAGCAATGGAAACTAGAGAGATGGATGTGCATTCAAGAACCAATGCAGAAAAAAACTGTAAAACCAAGAAAAGCAAAAGGAAGATGGAAGCTGAAGCCCATTCCATACAAGATCCTGTTAATGATGAGCAACCTGTGACAAAAAAGAAAAAGAAGACAGAAAGCAAACCCAAAAATAGTCAGGAAGTACCAAAGTGTGAAAACAAAGTGGAGGACAATAAAAGGCAAAATACTTGTGTGAAAAAAAGTACAAAGAAGAAAACTCTGAAAAATAAATCAAGTAGAAAAAGCAGCAAGCCTGCTCAGAAGGAGACTATTCAGAGAGGGCCTGCTCAGACAGAGCCGCTGCCACCCATGGAGCCTCCTCAGGTGGGGCCTGTTGAGACAGAGCCTCCTCCTCCCATAGAGCCTGCTCCGATGGAGATTGTTCAAAAGGGGCCTGTTCAGATGGAGGAGCCTCCTGCCATGGAGCCGCCTCCTCTTACCGAGCCTCCTCCTCTTACCAAGCCTCCAATTCCCAAAAAGTCTCCTCGAAAAGATAATAAAAAGGAAAAGTCTAACATGCAGAGTGAAATGGCAAGGAAGGAGCAAGTCCTTATTGAAGTTGGCTTGGTGCCTGTTAAAGAAAGCCAACTTCTAAAGGAAAGTGCAAGTGCACAGGATTTCTTACCACCATTGCCAAAGGAAAACTTAAAAGAAGAGGAGTCAAAAGACCAAAAATTATTCACTGAATGTGAAGGAAGTAAAGAAGCCCCACTTCAAAAAGTAGAAGCAGAAGAGGCAGATAAGAGTCTAGCTGTTGTCAGGGAATCTGCCAATATTTCATCCTCTGAACAAAACTTGAATATGCTAGAGGGTGAAACTTCAGATGGTAAACATCAGACTGACACTAGGCTTTGTGAAATGGATATGGATACAGATGAGAACAAAACAGAGAATCTCCCTGGAAAAGACTCAGCAGTTGAAGAATCAGTTTCACCACCTCTTCTTCCTCTACCAACAGAAAAACAAGAAGCAGTGTCCAAAACTGCTGTAGCATCACCTCCCGTTACCATGGCAGGAAATGAGTCTCAGGAAATGGATGAAGATGAAGGTATCCATAGTCATGATGGAAGTGACCTAAGTGACAACATGTCGGAGGGTAGTGATGATTCTGGATTAAATGGGGCCCGGCCAGTTCCACAAGAAGCTAGTAGGAAAAATGCAAAGGAAGCCTCGACAGTCAAGGTGGCTGAGGGAGATTTTGTTTGTATCTTCTGTGATCGTTCTTTTAGAAAAGAAAAAGATTACAGCAAGCACCTCAATCGCCATTTGGTTAATGTATACTTCCTTGAAAAAGCAGCTAAAGGACAGGAGTAATTAAACTTTGGAAAAGGCTTCAATTCTTAGTTTGTGAGGTCCTATTACATTTTATATTCCTTTAAACTAGTAGACAACATTTAATTTTAAAATTGCTTTAATTAGTGTCCAATGTTGATTTTTAAGTGACACTCTTTTTCTTATGATTTTCTCTACCTATTGTATACATTTTAGCAAATCCAAGGGAGTTAGTGTACTAAACCAGCAGACACCTAAATCTGTTAGCTTACACATTTAATTGAAACTAGAAGGCCAAGGTGGCACAGCATTTTATTGCTTTGTTTAGCTGTAACTTGTCAGTTTACCCCTAATGTCTGTCTTCCTGTTTCAGTTTAGTTTATTCTTAGTTTCTTATGTAGCTCTATAAAAATTGGCATGCTTAAATAGCAAATTACTTGAAGAATTTGCCTGCTTTATATACAGTTAGCACTTTAAAATTTTTTTAGAGATGAGAAGAGACATTTAAATTGAAGAAAAATTCTCCAAGCAATGGACATTGTTTCAGTCCAGGAATTTACTTCCTGAGTTTTGATCAATATTTCCTATTTGTGTATGTTAATCGTCATAAAAACAATGATTTTTGGTGTTTTTTTTTTTTGGTGCTTTAATGGCTTAAGATATTGCACATTTTTTTTAACCTATGCAGTTAAATTTTTTCCTAGAAATAGCATTTGTGTTGAACAGTAACACTTTACACATATATGCATGTTTTTTTTGTCCTTTTTGGAGGGATGCTTTTAGTCTTGTTTGCAAAAGGGCAGTTTTTCTTTTGCTGCAGTTGTCTTTTTTGCAGAATATTAGTGTGTGCAAGTTGGTGAGCAAATGAAACATACAGGTTCAAGTCATTGATTTTGATTTTCACATCTTATATCTATAACTGTATTTCATATAAGTTATTTATTTTAAATGGATGTAGTAAATTCACAGCTCTCAGCTTAAACTTTGCAATAAATGAACCAGTAGACTATATTGATGGGTTTTTCTCTCAAATACCAACCATAAGTAAAATTTATTGGCCTGTTTTAGTATACTACTACTTAAATGTACAGTGTTAAGTCATATCTTTGAGGAAAACCTTTTTTCATAGATGGTTGGTGTCCATATGGCTACTCAGCTGAGTAAACAATTTTGACATTTGGAAATTGCAAACCTGGAATTAAGAGACAGATAACACATTCAAATTATACAAAATATCAATTGTGAGATTCCAAAGCCATAACAATTATACAAAAAAACCTAGGATGAGAAGAAGGTAGTATGAGTGCTGGTAGACCAGCCACTACTTCCTATGAATACAATGAAAAAGGCTGGTGAACCTTAATTACAGTCCAGATTTAAAAATCACACTTTCTCAGGGATCTCCACAAACGAGTGGGTTTCCTGGCTGTCACTGTGACAGCCTCTTTGTACAGGTGAGGCCTCAAATGAAATGCAGCTATCTTGGTGTTCCTATAGTTTGTAGGAAAAAATGTATATTCCCAAACTTACTTTGTTTTGATAGGTTCTTTGGCCAGTCGCCAAAGAATATGAAAGAATCCAACAGGATTTTTCTTGTTTATAGTAGTTATTCATTGCAGTAAAAATAAACTATGATCCCAATAAGGAATCTTAAACAATTCTGATCTTCCATTTTCTATTCTGAAATAACCATTTCATATTTCATTTATTTTCTTCTCTCTGGTGATCTCTCTGAGGTGTAGGTTGCAGAGTTTGATAGTACAACATGAAAAAAGATTAGGAAAAGCGCTGAAGTGTGGGTGGAAAACTTGTTAAAAATTTAGGAGTGAAGTTTGAGTTAAAAGACATTTGAACTTTGAATTGACTGGGAGACCAAAGATTCAAAGAAGATGATACTCTCAAGACATGAGGAGTGAATTGTGTGTTAATAGTGTGTTTTGTGTGCATGAATGGAAATTTGTAAATGATGTTGAATTCTAGGTGAATTCTTGGCTCCGACAATCATTGTCAACAGAAGATCAAGCTGCAAATATTTATGTTTTAAAACTTAAATTATAAAGCTAGTTAAATCTTTCTAACAACTAGTTTTGATGTTCATGGGTACATTTTATGTAAGTTACCTTTTACATTATGAAAAAATTCATATTAAGTACAGATTGGAGATTGGGAAACAATTTGGGGGAGAGGCTTTTGTAGATGCTTTCATGCTAAAGAAAAACATTGACTTCTTGGGAATTATTTTCTTATCTAATTTTAAAGACGAGAATGCTAAATAAAAATATGAAGGAACGTAAAATTCCTTATTGTTAAATTGATCCGTGAAAACATTGTTATTAGAAATTGGGTAGGGCTTTTGAGGCCTTTCTTCCAGAAAACAAAGACTTGATTGTCAGGCCTATATTAGGTTCTGAACCTTAATGCCATGTATTTGTACTTATTAAAAATTGTTTCAGTAAAAAGCATATTAATAATAGAACTTCTGGTCTAGTTGGGAGTTCTGCCATTTAAAAAATGTGATACTTGCATAAAACTGAATCTTTGTGTTTTCTCAGTTTCCCCTCCACTGGATAGAATTTAAGCTAGACTTCCCTTTTGATAAAAAAAAGTGAACATGTTATTTGTAAATTGATGTTTAGTGACTAGAGATAAACTTGAAATACTAGAATACATTATAAGTCTAATCCTAGGTAGTCTTATGAAAATGTATCTCCTGTCTTTTGAATCTATTTTCAATATATTTTAAGTTATATATTTTCTCTTCAGAGCTGCTTCTTTCAGGCGCTTTTTTTTTATTTTATTGAAGTGTAATTTACAAGGGGCAACATTTTTTTTTTTTTTTACAAGGTTTCTTATAACTATGGCTGGATGTTTTCACTAGTCTTCCAAGAAGGGTCATTTTATTTTTTAGAGTCACTTCTAAAGTCCTGTGGTCTTTAACTTAGGGACTATTTTTTATATGAGTGCTAATAAATATTTAAACCCAAGTAGACCTCATTACATGTCACCCTATGAATGTTGACAATGGAAGGGACTACCTTGCCTGTAGTATATCAGTACTGGACTGAAAAGCTGGGGAAGGAATATAATTTTCTTTTTTGCATAAATCAGAAAAATAGCTAGTGTGTGGAGTTTCCTTCTTGACCTCAGCAGATAAACTGAGCTGATAGTGTTAATTCAGATTCAGGAAATTATCTGAATCCTGCTTTGTGTAGATTTGCAATCTACATGCAATATTGACTAAAAAAAATAGCTTTTCAGTTTCACATGTATACATAGGCTTTCCCCACTCTTTTCAGCATCCATTAGTTAGTTAGTTATTGAACTTTGTAAACTGGCATTGAAACATTGCAACACTGTTTTGTTGTACCAATTTTATAAACTTACAGTGCAATACGTGTTATTTTTCAGAGACAAACCAAAGGTTAATTTCTCAAGGTTCTTGCTGCCTGCTTTAGCAGCCTTTGGAGGATCTTTTATATACATTTGTAATAGATGAAAAATAAAACATTGCAAATCTTCTTTCTTTTTCTTTTTAATGTTTAAACCGTGTACCAAGTTTTTGGTCCAAATCATGTAAAATAAGTTAAACTTAAATTGCATTCTATTAACCAATATGAGTGTATTTCTGTAAGCATAGTTATGTTGAAATAAAGTTTTTAAAAGCATATTATGCCTTTGTTTATTATTGGCACATCAGGTATCAAGAAATCCAGATTTATTTTGCTGAAATTGCAAATTTATTAATAATATTCTAAATTATTTTTCTCCAGACAACCCATAGTGTCTAAAAAGGTCATAGCAATCTTTATTGCTTGGGGTAACAATCTGTTGCAGTGGTTCTCAACCTTCCTAATGCCGCGACCCTTTATTACAGTTCCTCATGTTGTGACCCCCAACCATAAAATTATTTACGTTGCTACTTCATAACTGTAATTTTGCTACTGTTAGCATTTGTAATGTAAATATCTGATATGCAGGGTATATTTTCATTGTTACAAATTGAACATAATTAAAGCATAGTGATTAATCACAAAAACAATATGTAATTATACATGTGTTTTCCGATGGTCTTAGGGGACCCCTGTGAAAGGGTTGTTCGACCCCCAAAGGGGTCACGACCCACAGGTTGAGAACCACTGATCTAGTGGGTGGTAGTTCAAAGCATATATATCTTCCTGTTCTTTGCTTTCTGGAAGGTGGAGGTTGGGAGAAACAATGAGAGGACAATTCATAGGAGGTTTTATGTAGTAACTAGTGTCCTGGTGCACAGATTCGTGCACACTGAAAGGAAATTAGAAGAAATATTAATATTGCTATTCGCATCTTGCTAATGAAAATAAGATTCTACTGAGTCTCGTGTCTACCTACTCTAGGACTTCTGTGAGGACCAAATGAGATGAGGCACGGGAAAACGCTTCACAGACATTTGGTTAAGCTAAAATGTTTGCACCTGGCTATAAAGCAAGTCAAGTTCCTGAGCTGAAGAAACTCCCAGGATGGTAGTCACTAGGGAGAGGAAGCCAGGTGTTGCTCTGTGACATTACCCGGTGCCCACAGCAACTGTTTCTGGGCTGGGCTGTGGGCTGCATTTTGGGTCGTGGGGTCTTGGCAGCATTGGCTGTGATTTGCTGGGCTGTCGCTCTGGGGTGAGGGCGCAGCCTATATCCCACTGGGGGAAGCCGAACGTTGGTTTGTGGGTGCCAGGTCCGTGGTGCCGTTTATTTTTAAATGGCCAGTGCGCATCATGGCAGCTCCTAGGCTGAGCGTCTTCCCCCTGATGGCCAGTGCCCTTCATAGCTACCAGACAGACGGACACTTAGCATTTTCTATATATAGATTCCTTCCCAACCACAGGTCACTGCCTCTTCTCAGTGACAGGCCTGGTATTAGTAAATTTTGACTTACAGAGAAAGATGCATTGAAGGGAAGGTAATTGAGATATGTTCTGTTCTCTGAGTGCCATGGCACTTTAAGGATTTTTGCTGTATTTAATGGAACTCTGAGAAGAAAATGAAATTTAAGGGAAAGTGATAGACCATTTTATTAGGAGGATTTTGCTTCTTTTGTTAATGGGAAAACAATTGAGCTTATGGTTTTGTGAAGTTGAGAGAAAAGGGAGGAGTTGAAGAACCTCTCTGGTTATGCAAAGCATCAAAGTAACTGGATTTGCATTCTGTCCTGATGCAGAGACCTGGAATATCCTCTGAGTCTTACAGCATTTTATATTTGAACTAGAGGTCTGCTGCATGAAAATTCGTGCACTGGAGGTGGGTCACTCAACCCGTCCTGCCCCGTCTCACCGTCCAGGAGCCCTCTAGGGATGTCCTCTGTGGGAGGCAACAGGGCTGATCAGGAGAAGGCACTGCTCCCATCACCCCACTGCTACTGCCACTGCCTGCTGCTGCAGCTGCAGGCCCTCTGCCCTGGCTTCTTAGTGCTGGCCCCGCCCACTGGTGGGTGGGGGGGCGATCTGGGGCCAGGCCAGCTGGGGCAGGGGCTGTAGGAGGTTGAGTCACAGCAGGTTGCACCCAGTCCAGCCTCTGCAGAGGCGTGGCACCTGGACTGAGCCCACACTGCTGCCTCTGTGGAAGGAGCGGCACTGGGACCTGGCCACGCCACGGCCTGTCCCACACCACCTTTGCAGAAGGGGGTGTGGCACCGCCTCTGCAAAAGGAGCCACAGCTCTGGACTGGTGGCACCGGCCCTAGGCCCTTGCAGCCGCTATGGCTTTGTCCAGATGGATGTCCGGATGGACATCTGGAAGACATCTGCCCTAATTAGCATATTACCCTTTTATTAGTATAGATTGATGAGAGTTATTAACTCTCTTTCCCCTCCTGTAAGATTCTTTAATAAGCAACAAAGCAAAATGAGTTTCTAGACATTTATTGGGATAGTAGAATCAGTGACAAGGAGCTTGGAAGTTTCTGCCTGATCAAGGATATATGGGGAATTTATCTGAATATAGAAATACTATTGATAATTGATTTGGTTTGTTGTCTTCAAAGAAACAATGATTTTAATCCCTTGCTGCTACTTTCCTAGAGGCTTACCCCTGATACGATTTTTACATCTGACATACTCATACATTCGCATATTTTCCCCCTCATGTCTCAGGGTTTGACCCAGTAGTATGAGCTCTTCTTTATCGCTCTCATCTTCAGCTCTATGAAGGCAGATTAGTGAAGGTTCTAAGAACAGTGTGCTAATGTTTGCTAACGGAAATTTTCAATGTTAAATTGTCTTTTCAAAGGATTTTGTTGTTCATTTTATCAAGTGCTCTGCAAGGCCTAGAGTTAGAGCTGGGTTCACAATAGGGCTTCCTTCCTTACCACTAAAATTGGAAGGAATTATTTCAGCTTTAATAACCGTGTTAATTCATTAATAAAACGGACATCTATACAGTGGCTTTGAGTTTCCTTTTTCTTTTTTTGTGGCTTTGAGTTTTAAATGCTTCTTGAACACTTAGCCTAGTGCTTGGCATACAATTGTAAGATTTCTTCTAGATAAACTGAGTATCCTTAAGTATATAAAATGCCTCCACTATTTGAGTATTATCAAGTTGTATAATTCATCTGGTTGTCCTGCATGTTTTGCAAGAGTGGGCTTTTAATGTTAAGGTAGTATGTGGGCTTTTGTGTCTGTTACAATATCCTTTAGAGTCAGTATGTGCACTTGTTTGTTTTTTCCAAGCACCTAAAACAGTATCTGGTCCTTAGTAGGGCAAATACTTGTTAATTAGGCCAAGAATTCTGTGTAAGATGTATATCCTTGTTTTCACTGAATGAATATAGTACAATGGTAATTTTACTGTTTTTTTAAAATTCTGATAATGCAGATATCTCATAGACAGATTAGGGTATTTTTTCTGGATCTCTTAACATTAACAAGGCAAGGAGGGTCAATCCAAGTAGCAGAAAATAGCAAAAATGTTAAGAAAGAGACTTTAAGCCCTAACCGGTTTGACTCAGTGGATAGAGCGTCAACCTGCAGACTGAAAGATCCCAGGTTCGATTCTGGTCAAGGGCATGTACCTTGGTTGTGGGCACATCCCCAGTAGGAGGTGCGCAGGAGGCAGCTGATAGACGTTTCTCTTTCATCGATGTTTCTAACCCTCTATCCCTCTCCCTTCCTCTCTGTAAAAAACCAATAATAATATATATTTTTAAAAGAGACTTTAAGAAACTTTATTTTGAGGCAGGTTCAAGCTTACAGAGAAGCTGCAAGAATGTTCCCCTTAAAGTCTTGTGTACCCCTCGCTTGGATTCACCATTCTCATTTACTTTCTATATGTATTACTGAACCATTAGAAATTATTGCAAGCATACTCCTTCCTCTATGAATATTTATGTCAGTTTGTATTTCCTAAAGATAGGGGCATTTTCTTGCATAACCACACTAAATCAAATTCAGGACTTTTAAGATTGGGGTATCATTTTAGTTGTGCCAAATGTCTTAGTACTAAACAATCCCCCTGTTCCTAATCACCCATTGCATTCAGTTATCACATCTTTCCAGTTTCCTTTAATTTGGAACAATTCCTTTTTTGTCCTTAATGACAGGAGTTTGAAGAGTACTAGTACATACCTGCTGTTTAAAGAATGTTCCTTAATTTGGATTATTCTGATTGTTCCAGCATGGTTTTAGTTATACATTTTGTCACAAATACTAACCTTGGGCATTAATTACATAGGAAGGCACATGATGTCATTTTATCCCATTGTTGGTTGCGTTCATTTATATTATTTGTTTAAGGCAGGGGTCCTCAAACTACGGCCCGCGGGCCACATGCAAATACAAATATTGTATTTATTCCCATTTTGTTTTTTTACTTCAAAATAAGATATGTGCAGTGTGCATAGGAATTTGTTCATAGTTTTTTTTTAAACTATAGTCCGGCCTTCCAACGGTCTGAGGGACAGTGAACTGGCCCCCTGTTTAAAAAGTTTGAGGACTCCTGGTTTAAGGTGTTGTCCACCAGATTTCTGCATTGTGAAGTTATTTTTTCCCTTTGTAATTAATATTCTGTGGAAGAATATATTGAAACTCTTATTCCTCAACAAATCAAATAATCTTAAAATTTTTTTTATTAATCCTCACTGGATGATATTGTTTCCATTGATTTTTAGAGAGGGCAAGGGAGAGGGGGAGGGAGGGAGAGAGAGATTGGTTCCCTCCCACATGTGCCCCTACCAGGACTGGGAATCAAATTTGCAACCTGGATATGTACCTGTGACTGGGAATCAAACCCTCGACCCTTTGGTGCACAGGTCTAAGCTCTGACCACTGAGCCAGATGGGCCAGGGCAAACCCAGTGATTTTTGGCTGGCTCTTGTACCTTCCGTATAAGTTGATAATCTTCTGATTGATTGATCCCTTATCCCTGGAGACTCACGTTCTTTTCATGTGTACCCTGACAATCATTTCATTTACCCCAATTTAGCCAGTGTGTGTGTGTGGGGGGGGGGGGTGGGGAGGAGGGGCGGGGGGGGGGGGGGGCGGCGGTGGTGGTGGTGGTGGTGTGCCCTTTCCAGCTCCCTAAATGAGACTTCTTACAGTCTGTTAATATACTAAAGGATTCTTACTTATGACCAAATACTTTGGAATGCTGGCACACTAAATTTCTCTCTGCTTAAGTCATAACAGTACTATAACATTTTTTACATT